CTTTTGATTAATGGTCTAGATCTTTTTTTCATAACCCTAGAGAAAACCTATAAATAGGCACCTTGATGGACCTAATTCTCTACATCTTGAGCTCTTTTCCTCTTCTCCTCACGACGTGGCACGCCACTCTCTCTTATCTCCCTCTAAGATCTCTACTCTCTCTCTTGCCTCCATTAGAAAATTTTAGTAAGAAAAATAGGGGGCATGCCCCAAGTTTTGTAAAAGGGGGGGCATGCCCCAAGTTTTGTGAAAGGGGGGGCATGCCCCAAGCTTTGTGAAAAAGGGGGTAGGTTACCGTACTAGGTATTGAGACCTGGGGTAACACGATAGGTCTAGAGAACGTCATGCAAATTTTTATAATAATCCCTCTTGTTCTCTACGATCCTGTCAATAATCCTAAGAAGGAATTTGTTTACGGTTTTAGCTTTGGCTGTTTCCTTATAGGTAATATGATGATGAGAATTTTTGGGTTATTTTGCATACCCAAGCTAAGGTGTCATTTTTTAAATTTGTCTCATTATATGATATTATTGCTTCCGGGGCCCCAAATCTGTAGACTATGTTGTTCTTAATGAACTGGGCCACATGCTGTCCTTCGACTTTTGTGAAGGAAGCGGCTTCGATCCATTTGGTAAAGTACTTGATGGCTGTCAAAATGAACATGTGTTAATTTGAAGCCTTTGGGGGTATCATCGCTACAATGTCAAGGGCACATTTGGCGAATGGCCATATGGGCAACATTGAGTTCATGAGCATGGATGGTATGTGGATGAGATCCCCATAGATCTGACATTTAAGACAACTTTTAAAATGCTTCCAACAATCTTCTACCATTGTGGTCAAGTAATATCCTTGGCACCTAATTTTCTGAGCCGGGGCTACTACCGCAGGGTGTCCTTCGTCATTGAGGATTAGGTCGATCTCTGGATAATCGACACATCTTAAAAGGACCTTGTTGAAGGATTTTTTATAGATCTGGTCACCCGTTATAACAAAATTTACAACAAATCTCCTTAGGGATTTCTTTACTTTTTAAACTGGCTCTTTCTGGGTATTCCTCATTCTTTAACAAGGCTAGTACATCACTGTACCATGGTTTAGCTTTTGCCTGGCCTTGTGCATTAATAGAGAACACCCCTCCCACCTTTTCTCCTTTACTGTCACTTTCTTGTGTTGTCCTGTAATATGGGGGAGAGGGGTCATGTTTGTGTCTGATGTAGAAGAGCTTTAAATTCATTTCGTGGCGGAATGCTGACCACTGATACTAGAGTCGCTAGGATATCTGCAAATCTGTTATTTGCCCTGGCCACGTGTTGGAAGGTGATTTCCTTTAAATTTCTCATCAGCCGCCCACCTTTTTATGGTAGGAGATTAAATTTTCTTTTTTCACCTTTCATACTTCTTGGACTTGGTTTATTACCAGGAGGAAGCCGCCAATGACTTGTAACCTTTCGATTCAAAGTTGGACGAAATTTTTGAGTCCAGCTACCATGAATTCAAAAGTTCGAACAGAACATGAAGGTCCAAAGTCGGTGCAAAATAAAAAAGAAGAAGAAAATTCAAAACTTCGAGCCGAAGTTGTTGCCATAAGAAAAAAAAAAAAGTGACCGTAAAATACAAATTTTTAAGGTGAAAACTATAATAACAAACATCTGAAGGTATGAGAATAAATTTATCAAAATTCGTCGATCCCTTTGAAAGGTAAGTACCACACCGTTGTTTAGCTACATAAGTGACAAATATACTTTTAGATAAATAATGATTAAGATAACATTATTCATAGTTGTAAAATATGATAAAAACTGCCCCTAAATAGCATACGAGGAGTTTGATAATTTTATTTATTTAAAATTATTCTTTTAATATTTTTTATAGGTTTATAACGGTGAGAAATGTAGACATACTAAATTTGAGCTCATATGATGCATAAAAAAAGAGGCAAAATTAAAGTACACTTTATAGTCTAAAAAAAAACAGAACTTAACTATAAAAAAATGGAATATCTAGAATTATTTTTTAATATAAAAATAAACAATATTTAAATGTAAATTTTCCAAAATTGAACCACAACCATAATAGAACAAACATTTTCCAATATTATGGTATACTCTTTTCTTTCTTTAGGTTTCAACTCAATTTACATACATATCCTGGCCACTATGTCTTGTTCCTTGCCTGTTTCTCTCAACAATGGCTTCTCGGTTATTTCAAGTCTTTTTACCACTTCATTTTGGTTGCAATCTTTATGCAAGTCTCTAGTGAAATGCGAACCGTGAGCATGACAAACATCAATGCCACAGACAGAGAGAGGAAAACAAAGCCATGTTATAAGGAAAAGAATCAAAATTTTTACACCTATGAATTTATCTTTAGTATAAGAAATCACAATCAACCTTGGCCTTAAAATGTGAAATTAGATGGTTAGGGGTATTTTACATATCGTGTTCAGAGTCTGAAACAAATTTTATTAAACTTTGTGGTGTATTCTTAACCGCATGATGTCACATGTAATGGCCATTTGTGATTATGATTTTTTTGTACAAAAAATATTTTTATAGTCACAAATCCTTAAAGATGTGAATGTTAAAATATGGTATGTGCAACAAATAGTGAGCAGAACAATGGCCTTTACGTAAGGCATAAATTTTTTTATTTATTTATAGTATTATCATTCCAATTTTGTTTGTTAAATAATATTAGCGGTTGTGATTTCTATAAGGTTGAGGCTCTAAACAATCAAAGTAAAGCACACCTCTTAATAATATCAAAATATGATTCTTTCAAAAGCAAAAATCTTTGTGATTGTCTAAAAATATATTTTCATTTCTAATTATAAAATTTAAAGCTTAAAAACTACTGTAGATCGAGTAGATCTATGAGCACTTGACAATATTGAAAATTGATGGCTCATATAATGCATTACAAGATGAACTATTTCCCAAACATAAAATCTATTTTTTTCATATCTATACATCTCGAGGTCGAGATGATTGATTTGAGGGTTTTTTGATATTAAAACAACCTCTTGTAATGAATTTTTGCGGTGCATCTTAATTTGATTGTTTAAGCGTCAACCTTATATAAACTTTTTTCTTTTTAAAATAAAATCCTTTACTTTGAAAAAAGAGAAATTTGGGCTTGTTTTGCCCCAAACTAAAATTATTATCTCCTCAAATTCTTGTTTTTCACGTTCATACCGTTTTCTTATATTTTTTTCCAAAATGCCCTACTTTGGAGCAAGAAGACAATTCTTAGCTTCTAATTTTGAACGTCCAAAGCTGAAACTCAAAGTGATGACTTCATGTCTTCAAGATTGGAAGCCACTTGACTTAAATTAAAAGTTAGACCGTTTGACTTCAGACTTTGAGGTTAAGACTTGCTAAAATGACTTCGAACCTTAAAGACAATCAAGACAATTATTTTGATAGAACTTGACTTTGGACCATGAAAATCTGGAGTCAATAAAAAACCCGACTTCGGACTATGGAGGTTTGAAGTCAGTAAAAATAACTTGACAACGTGACTTCGGACTATAGAGGTTTGAAGTCAGTAAAAATAACTGAACTCCAAATAATGAAGGTCTAAAGTCACAGCAAAACAGGAAATGTTCGGGACTTCGTTCTGAACTCATTATCACTTCAAGGTCCAAAGTGCGGCATCTTAGGAAAATTGAAAAGGTAAAAAAGGATATAAACATAAAATAGTGTACACTTACTCCCTCGGGCAAAAGGCCAACTTCGGAAGGTTTTTTTGATTGGCAAGTTTGACCCATTCTTTTGAGGTATTGTAGAGTGGAGTTCGTGGAGGTCGGCAAGGTAGCCCGACCTTTTAGAAGAGCGGGCGGTTGTCTGCAGTTTCCCCTTGACAGAAGTACTCAAGAAGGAACGATCGATTGGTTATCAATTCTACAGTCTCGGTGAACATCAAGAGTAATCAAATAGCAAACCTAAAATGACTTGTGATGGAATCCTCAGTTTCATCCGAATTCCAAATATCATTAGTTGATTATATTCAGGAGAAATTTTGTATTATGACTTTTTTTTTTTTTTAACTTAGAACTCACCCTTCAAAAATTGGATGGTTTCTATTCAATCTTGAGGCATTATTTTTTTCTAAAAATCCATAGAGATATATTTGAAAATTTTTTCATCTAGTATGACATATGGGTTGAAGAGGTTACACGTAAATTTTGGGGTCCTAAAAATACTCAAAGATTGGATTTAGATCAAGGGAGTAAATGGAAAATATGCTCCCTTGGGAGCATGAAATCTTTTATCACGGGGGAGATTGCTACTATGACCGATATTTGAGGAAACACGAGTGTAAATATCTCTAAGAAGCCTCTGTATCTCTATCTTTCCATTTTTACTCTCTTCTTTTGTTTCTTCAAATGCCAATTTTCTTGATATAATTGCAATTATTACTGACCAAAAGATTTCCAGCTCCCACAAGCATATATTGCCATGACAAGCGAGTTGCAGCTTGACCCTTTTTTCTTTTTTTTTTTTCTATTCTCTTTTGTTTATCGTATTTGGCTTGGCTCAACCCGGGCTCTTGGCCCAGCTTAGATAAAGCCTGGGCTTAAGCCAAAGCTAGACCTAGGCCAAGGCCGCTTCAGCATGGTCGGACTCGAACAAGGCCGGCGAGTTGCCACCCCTATTCGAGTACTCCCAGGGTTGAGTAGACATTCTAGTGACCTTTTCTTAACAAGTAGGGTAAACCAACCCATGTCTTCCCCTCCCGGATGGGTTTTGGAAAGACGGTGCTATTCTCTAATAAATAGTCCATCCAAACATTAGCTTAACTCAAAACCAGGTTTAATGAGAAAAGTAGGGCCATTGAAGTCCACATCACGTAACTCCACCACTTGAGAGGACAGTTCAGATATTTCTGTCAAAAGCAGGGCTTCATTTATGAGATTCTCCACAAATGATATGCTTCCATCTCCCTTGATCCACCGGAACAAAGCCCAAACTCTCTCTTTATCACAGCCATTGAATTATATATATAAGCAACAGAACAAAACATGGCAAGTTCCTGAGGTTGTGACCTCGTTGTTTCAGAGATTGCACTGTCAAGACTCAATTTAGGCTCAAAATTTGGCAGTTCCTTCCACTATTGGTGTCTTTCTAGCAAAACCCAGTTCATAGATTCTCCACTCTTTACCCGTTTCTCTCTCTTTCCTGTCACTCTCTCGCTACCCTCAGTTTCTCTCTTCACTGGAACAGGGTGCCATACAACTTAAGAGCGGATTTGGAGTTGTGGGTTATGAGCAAAATCTGGCCTTTAATGGAGTTATGTGAAGAGATGGGCATTAGAGCTATGAAAACTGTGGATTTTAGCTCTGGTTGGGTTTCTCTCAAATTTTGTTGACTGTGGAGCTCCCTATCAGTAGCCATGTCTCAGACCAACTGGGAAGCTGATAAAATGTGGGATTTTGGCTTCAAAACCATGTTTTCTTTTTGTTTTGTTCTATTATTTGGTTTATGCTTGCTATTTGTATTGTAGGGTTTGGTTTTGAGCTATCATTATGGGTTTGTCTTGACTGAATAGTTGGTCTCTCCTGTTCCCTCTGTCTCTCTCCCTTTCTCCCTCTCTCGTTTTCTGTATCTCTCTCTGTTTCTCTTTTTCTTTTTGGGTCCTTTGAATAGGCTGGATGTGTACATATATGACTATTTGGTGAAGAGGAATTTACAGGCATCGGCAAAAGCGTTTCAGGCTGAAGGAAAGGTGTCTTCAGACCCAGTTGGTAAGAATGATGGTGAAACTTTTAGGGTTTCGGTTTGTGTGCTTTTTTTAGTTTGAGCGTTCTTTATTTTGCTAATGTTTGGGGTTGGATTTGGATGGGTTTTCTCAGCTATTGATGCACCAGGGGGATTCCTTTTTGAGTGGTGGTCAGTATTTTGGGACATTTTTATCGCCAGAACGAACGAGAAGCACTCTGATGTTGCTGCATCTTATATTGAGGTAAGCGTTCTGTGATATTCTCTTTTCGGATTTTACCCATCAAACATTATTTTCTTCTTTTTCGTTTTGTTTGCTTAATACTTCAGGCATTTCTAGAGGCGATGTTGATATTTTCACTGATTGGTTGTGGTAAGAATTTGCTAAAGAATTTCTCATTTTTTTGCTTATAAGGGTATTCGGTGCAGTATTTATGGAAATTGAATGCATTCTCTTTTTGGGATTAACAAACTACTCCATACTGCAAAATGAACGAAATAGATGGGCTTACCCTTGTTGTTTTAAATTTTCTTATTTGGTTACAAAATCAACTACTGATATATTTATTGAGTATTCTAACTGTGTCGATTAATCTCCTATGCCATTAGTGAAAAGTTAACAAGGACTTTTCCTCCTTATAGAGGGAATTTTGATACAGATCTTTTGGTTGTTAAATTTCTCTTGCGACTCTGCCACGGTGATCATTGAAATCAACAAACAAACGAAAACCAAAGAAATCCAACTTAACCATCTTGAGTGCCATGATCAAACCACTGTTCTAAACTACCCAGTGAACATTGAAATCACAAGATAGTAGTAATAACTATGATTTATGTTGAATCTTGAAGAGACAAACTTGAAAAAGAGACGATACATCTTGAGTCAGACTGAATTGCTATGCGCATGCAGACACAAGTAGTTCTGTGTACACATGGCATTCTCTAGTTCCTGAGGACTATTAGTTGGTGCTTGCTATTGATTTTGGGAACAGTACAAATGAGAAAGGATGCATAACGACCAGACATTGTTTGAACTATGTGCGGAACTGATCCAATTTGGTATCACATTGGTACTCCGCTCAATTTATTCAATCTACCCATCTACAAAAGAACAGAATCAATTAATTATGGGAATTTACAATTAACGAGATCACCTATCTTCACAATCCATTTGATACCCCTCTCATTCCCTATCTTTCTTCACAAAAGTCTTCTCATACCCCTCTGGAACTCTTCATCCTCTTTTCCCCCTACCTTTCCCTCGCATTCGCTGCTGCCCGCAACCTTGGGATCTTCATGATTGAGCTCACAGTACAGAAGCCTGGGGCTCAACCTCTGCTTGGTGGTGTTTCATTGTGTTATATCCAACTGTTCGACTTTGAAGATGCTACCAAAAATAGATTGGGCCCTGCTGCCCCTATCTTTTCTTTAGTGTTTTATTTCCTTTTTATGTTTGCTTTATTTTTTACTCTGTTTCTCTTCTATCATCTGCACCTGTATTCTGAGCACCCACCCAATTTGTGGGCTGCCATCATACAAATCTGCAATAGGGTGGAATTGATCCAATTGGGATCACGTTCATACAATTGGTCCAATATGGGATCACATTGGTACTTCGCTCAATTTATTCAATCTACCCATCTACAAGAGGACAGAATCAATTAATTATGAGACTTTACAATTAATGAGATCACCTTTCTTTACAATGCATTTGATACCCCTCTCATTCTCTATCTCTCTTCACATAAGTCTTCTCTTACCCCTCTGGAACACTTCATCCTCTTTTCCCCCTCCCTTTCCCTCGCATTCGCTGCAGCATTCAACCTTGGGATCTTCATGATCGAGCTCACAGTATAGAAGCCTGGGGCTCAACCTCTCCTTGGTGGTGTTTCATCGTGTTATATCCAACTGTTTGACTTTGAAGATGCTACCAAAACTAGATTGGGCCCTGCTGCCCCTATCTTTTCTTTTGTGTTTTATTTCCTTTTTATGTTTGCTTTATTTTTTACTCTGTTTCTCTTCTATCATCTACACCTGTATTCTGAGCTCCCAATTTGTGGGCTGCCATTATACTACTACCGGTGGTTCTGTAATTTTATTTCTATTTATTAAAGTGAACCATTCTAAAAAACAAAAAAACGAAAAAAAAATGCCGATCACCTTTCTACAAAGTAGAACTGATCAAATTTGGGGTCACTTTCAACCTCAGCTGATCAAGGCTTGATAATGAAAGATACATGCCCATCAGGGATAGCTTGAGAGTTTATCCAATACGCCAATCTATTTTGTGCTACTTATAGGCACAGCTTGACAAGTTGTTTTTGAAACTGGTTAACTTGTTAAATTAAAACCACAAGGAGTGGTATAACTGTGACAAGGAGTGTTATAACTGCGACTAGTTTTTCAAACCACTCTTTGACATCAATTTCAGATTCATCTTTTTCTAAACCATAAATCTACGATAGTATGTAAATTAGCATGTAATTGATTAAATTTGGTTTCGATTTTAGACACAGCTCATTAAGGCTCGAGAACAGCAGCAACAGTCTCAACAACAGCCTCAGCAGCAGCAACAACAACTACACATGCAACAGCTTCTATTACAAAGGCAAGCTCAACAGCAGCAGCAGCAGCAACAGCAACAACAACAACAACAGAATCAACAACAACAACAACAACAGCAACAACAACAAAGAAGAGATGGCCAACATCTTCTAAATGGCCCAACGAATGGTCTTGGGGGCAATGACTCACTCATGAGGCAGAATCAGGGAACTGCAAATGCCTTGGCAACCAAGATGTATGAAGAACGTCTGAAAGTGCCACTTCAAAGGGATCCCCTTGATGATGCATCTATGAAGGTTTAGATTCCGATTATCTTGTAATGTCGTGACAATTTCTTCAATGAGACTAAGAACCCACTTATCCAAAAAAGAGAATGTTTACGCTTACCAAGAAATTTTTTTAGCTTAGCCAAAGAAATAAACTGTTGATTTCTATTTGAGAGCAGCTCATGTATGCATTTCTTTAAAATCTTTTAGCTGAACTGTTTTGAGTTTTTGGTTACTGAAAAGGGAAATCTGTTCTTGTTTTCTTCTTTCTTATGCTCCAGCAAAGATTCGGTGACAATGTTGGCCAGCTGTTGGATCCAAATCATGCTTCCATGTTGAAATCTGCTGGAGGTCCTGGCCAACATTCAGGGTAGGTACAATAGACCATAGTTTCCATGATAACTACCTTTTATTGCGTTATGATCAACTTTTTGGGCTCCTTCCTCTTGTTTTCCTGTCAATATGCTTTTCAATAAACTATGGAAAACCATAATTGATGATGGGGAGTGGGACCTACCATTTGTGTGATGTCATCTTTCAATGAGTCCTACTCTGTCCATCTTCATCAATCTTGCATTGGGTGGTAATGACCCACTGGACTATAGTTCTCCATTTCAGTACAAAAACCCTTTTGACATGTTGGAACGTTTATCGTTCTTGTAGTGGCGAATGCCTCTTTACCCTTGTCTTTTGGGAAGGAAATATTGCATGTACGTTTTATTCATATGGTTATTCAATGATCATGCTCATTCTTGTTGTTAGTTTTGATTTAGAATTGATTTGATAATTCTGGTTCATTTCTCCTTTATGTTCTTCTTTTGGGTTTCCATATTTTGCAAGGGTAAGTGTTTCTTAGACATCATCTTATCATTTTCTCATTGTAGGCAAGTTCTTCATGGAGCAGCTGGGGGTATGCAGGCAACTCTGCAGCAAGTTCAGGCTCGGAACCAACAAATTCCTGGATCAACACAGGTATTCAGCATTGAAAACCTTTTCATGCTTCTTTTATTTTTATGTGTGTGTGTGTGTGTGAGAGAGAGAGAGAGAGAGAGAGAGAGAGAGAGAGAGAGAGAGAGAGAGAGAGAGAGAGAGAGAGAGAGAGAGAGAGAGAGAGAGAGAGTAGTAGTAGTAGTAGTAGTAGTAGTAGTAGTAGTAGTAGTAGTAGTAGTAGTAGTAGTAGTAGTAGTAGTAGTAGTAGTAGTAGTTAGTTA